CATCCAGATGGCCAACCGACACATGAAAAACTGCTCCACATCACCCATCATCAGGGAAATGCAAATGAAAACCACAGTGAGATACCACCTCACACCTGTCAGAATGGCTAACATTAACAACTCAAGCAACAACAGATGTTGGTGAGGATGCAGAGAAAGAGGATCTCTTTTGCATTGGTGGGAATACAAGCTGGTGCAGCCCCTCTAGAAAACAGTATGGAGGTTCCTCAAAAGGCTAAAAATAGAACTACCCTACTTCCTAGCAATTACACTACTAGGCATTGATCCACAGGATACAGGTGTGCTGTTTCAAAGGGACACATGCACCCCCATGTTTATAGCAGCACTATCAACAATAGCCAAAGCATGGAAAGAGCCCAAATGTCCATTGATGGATGAATGAATAAAGAAGATGTGGTATATATATACAATGGAGTATTACTTGGCAATCAAAATGAATGAAATTTTGCCATTTGCAACTACGTGGATGGAACTAGAGGGTATTATGCTAAGTGAAATTAGTCAGTCAGAGAAAGACAAAAATCCTATGAATTTACTCATATGAGGACTTTAAGAGACAAAACAGATGAACATAAGGGAAGGGAAATAAAAATAATATAAAAACAAGGAGAGGGACAAAACAGAAGAGACTCATAAATATGGAGAACAAACTGAGGGTTACTGGAGGGTTTGCGGGAGGGAAGATGGGCTAAATGGGTAAGGGGCATTAAGGAAACTACTCATGAAATCATTGTTTCACTATGTGCTAACTAATTTGGATGTAAATTTTAAAAAATAAAAAATAAAAAAAAATTTTAAAAACCACAAATAAGCAGCACAATAAGTCAGAGACAAAACCACATAAATCAATGCTTACAGTATCTGCAAAGAGAAAGGGACTGGTCTACAGTCTTGTGTAAGACAGAAAGGACCCAAAAAATAAAGACTGAAGTGTCCCTGGCACATAGATTAACATTCAATAAACGTTCATAGTAGCGAGAGAAACCTCATGGGTTTGAAAACTTGGGATTCTCTCTTCCTCTCTTTGCCCCTCCTCAACCCATTCTCATTCTCTCTCTCTCTCTCTCTCTCTCTCTCTCTCTCT